TGTCAACATTTTAACACTTGACTCATAGCACGGCTGTAATAAAGTACAGCCTACAACAACATACAGCATTTTCAATTTAAATCTGGATGCAAGAGCAAACCAGAAAGTGTGTGTAAGAGCGTTTCGTCTCAGAGGAGTTGGAATGCACTCAGTGTGACAGCTTTCATTGTCTCACAGCTCCTTTCTCTTAGCACCCAGCAATAATTACTGACTTGTGCTTTTCCTCTGGTACCTGCCAGCTCTTCCCACCTCCCAACACAGCTGATCAGACCGAGCTGCAACACGCTTGTACATTCTTCTTGCCACGTTTTCTTATCGGGAACCTGAAGAACAATCAGCTCGCTGAACAAAAAGCTCCATCCAGCCATCTCTTATTAGAGCAGGATTATGGCTGATTACATTTATTAGAGAAGATATATAAAGAGATGTAAAGTTCAGCCTACTATAGGTTGATACGGTTAATTCAGTTGCTCACTGACTAATTAATTGTGTACTCAGTGGAGCAGGATTCAGTCCTTGAATTAATAGGTGCCAGGTATCTTGCCGTATAGCCATGTTTATGAAGCTTCAGATCTATTGTTATTTCTGTCACCTCGAGAGGACTCATTTTGCAGCGGCCTGGCTGATCGTGTTCGGTCCTGTCATGTCTGATTCTGCAGATGAGCCCTGACATCCTCGAGGACGGACTGGAATGATTTGACGTCACGAACAACAACAGACACGGAAAAAGCTCTTTCCCCACCTTGTGCTGCAGAGGAGGTGTATTTCGGTCAGAGTGCCTCATGGTGTCATAGACGTCACAGTCTCAGGGGTGTGAACTGCGAGCAGAGTGAAGTTCTCTAACTCACTGTCAGAACATCCACTCATCCACACTGATGTACCCACATACTCTGAGAGACCCAAGCTTCTGACAGATGCAGCTCTGAAACAATCTGTGATGAATTCACAGCGCAAAACATCGTACGCACTGAAATTTATTCAAACCCACATTTTCTTCCTCATTCTACAAATCTATAACTGATGCAGATATAAAACACCAGTCATGCAATTATTAAAAGGTTTAGATGAGCAAAATCTTTAAGCGAAAAGGTTTTAAAGGCCCAGTAATCTTGATACACAGATAGGTATCCCTGGACGTTTATCGATGGCTGTGTATTTCCTCTGTGTTTCATTAGATACCTTGTTTGACAGCAGGGAGAGCTTCTGCTGTCCGCTCAATGGGGGGCAGACACATTGGTAAGGTTTTGATTTGGTGCATTTGGAGGACAGGAGGAAACGGGATCATGAAACATGACGAAGAAAGTGTTCGGTTTGGATATTGATGGTAAAATTCTTAATGATGTTAACAATACTGTCATCTGTGGATATATCTTGACTACTTGATTACTGACAGGCCATTAAGGTGCCTCCTATTCCAATATCCAATTAAAGGCTCCACAACAACTCCTATAATAAGTGGGGTGAGTTGATAAGCAACCAATTCTGAAGCTTCAGGCCCTCTGCTTCATTAGGAGGCTGTTGAGCTAAAACAGAAAATTCAACACGGAGGGCATCAAAGTGCCCACTCAGCAAAATGAGTAACAAACTCCTTATTAGATATGCACCAATCTCCTAGGATACAGCCGACATACACAATGATCACCCAGCAAAACTGTTGCCTGTATAATGCTCTTGAATAATGCTCTACTCAATTAATGCTCGCCAGAAGGGCAGGTGTTGGTTTGCACCAGCGAGATGTGAAAGAACAGAAGGAGTGATGAAGGAGATGGAGGCAGAGGAGGAGTGGAAACATTTCAAGATTTCAAGTATGAGAAAGTAGCACTTCTCAATATGAAAAGATCAAAGTGTCTCCGAAAATGTGTTATACTTCACGGGACATCATGAGGGGATGAGTAAAAAAAAAAAAAAAAACTTGCAGCGTATGTGAGGGGTGGCAGGTTTTTAAGCTGCACTGGAGGCATTTTTCCTAAATCTGCCAAGGTAGGAGGGAGGCATGGAGCAGTCCGGTGCAAAGCTGCAGCAGGGTTCGTGCCAGTTCATTGCTGTCGCAGCCCACACATTCGCTTGATACAATCGCAGAGACACCAAATGCCATGAGAATGTCAAACACACGTCTTTAAAGAGACAACCAGCACAGAGGAAGAAACACAAACAGCACCACAACAACGGAGGATATATTCGCTCGGGAAAAATCAACTTCTGTGTCAGAATGCAAATGTCGTTGTTAAGATGGAAAAGATGGGCATGATTAACAAAAAAAAAAGATCTCCCCCATGAGGTAATTGTAGTAAAACAACATGTGTGGATATTTCATATTTAAAATATCAAACATCCTTGTGTTTGACAGCAGCAGATATCTAGAAGATGACAGTGAGGGTGTGTCTGCGCTCAATTCAAATTCCAATACACAGTTTGTAAACAGCATAAATCATGAAAAACTGTATTCCATAGGTCATTATTCAATTTTCTTAAGTAAAAGTTTGACAATTTGAGAAATACACATATTTGCTTTCTTGCCAAGAGTTGTATGGTAAGATGGTATTATGTCTGAACACTAAAGTACTGCCAGCAGCCGGCTAACTTAGCTTTCACAGAGACTTCAAACAGGGCAAACGGGTGGTTTCCTTACCTTGGACACAGTCGAGCTAGCTGTTTCCCCTTGTTTCTATGTTGTTAAGCTAAGTTAGCTGGCTGTTATGGCAGTCCAAGCGGTGTGTGCTCATCAAAGTTCCATTTAAATTCTAGGTTTTGACCCTTGACCTCTTAAAAGTCAGAAAGGTTTGGGCCATTGTTTGACGTCAGTAAAACCTGAGAAAAAGTCACCAAACTTTCTTCCGATTTATTTTACTAATTGCGAGACTGATTTCACTGATTAGGTGGATTACCGTTCGTTTTTGAAATATCATATCTGACAGGCAGCGCAAAATTCTACATGTAATCATATATCTTAAATACTTTTACTTTTTAGATTATTCCCTCCAAATGTTTCCAAATAGCCCCGGTTATCCTGAAAAAGAGAATCTGCAATACATATTTAAAGCTAAAACAAGACTTTGAGATATGCAAGTGGCATGGGATTGTAAGGATTAAAGTTTAAAAATAGAAAAAGTGTGACATATCAGCACAACATTTCGTAAAGATGGACTGACGTCAGTAAAGCCAGACATTTAATCAACATAGGGTTTTAAAAATAGACATGGTAGCCAGTTATGGCACCAGACATATATTTATGTTTATAGATGTATTTATTTCCATTTTCATTTGAAACAGTGACATTGTTTGGGGATTAAGGCAAGACATCGTGTTTTCTGTTGCTGACTACATTAGGAGACATTTTGCCCAGCATCTAAATTGAATAACTGCTGATAACTTTTACATGTACTTTGAAAGGATCTATAAATAATCTTCGAGCTACAGTACTCTGTTGAATAAAAATCTCACAATGCAGACTGAAGGAAAGGTTATATTTAGAAAGGAGGGAAGGAAGAGCAGCAGCTGCGATGTAAGATATCTGAAAATGGAAACTGCTCCCAGGGGTGACAGAGCTTATTCTCTCCACATTAATTATTTATTTTCCCTTTAATAGACCGCGGACGACAGCATCGATGGGGCAAAGATCACGCTGTTTGAGGACTGCTGACGTTCTTGTGGCTCCCAGTGCTAATGAATGTGTCTAAACCAGGAAGCTTTGGCTTTGGTCTGGTCCCTGGTACATTGTGTCCCTGTGGACGGTAGGTCTGTCCATCATATAGGTAATTTCCAATCACCAAAGATTCTACATTAAACTAAATTTAAATAACAGTTGGAGTTAAGGTTTTCTATGCACAAAAGCATTGAGGCAACCAGTTCTTAGAGATCTGCACTCTTGAAGATATAAAAAAAAATATTTAGTCTCATTGATGAAGATATTTGACCAAATCAAGGCCAGAAATTTGCATTTATATTATAATGTCTCTTGAATGGGAGGGACACTTTGTTTTGACTTGGACGACTGCGTGTGCTGTTTTGTAAAACCTTCTCCAAATGCCTCGACAACAAGTCCGCAGGGGCTGAGAAGGCAATCACAGGTGAGAAATCACTGGCAGCATTGACGGCTGCAGTCCTGAGACATCAAGTGTTTGGATGGGTCATGAAGTGATTAGTCCCAGTCTCAGAGGAAGAGAGCAGGGGTCAGAGGACTAGTTGAACGTGGTGGTGGTGGTGGTGTAGTCTTACTTGTGCAAGTGAAAAGAAAAAAACAGCATCAAAAAAGTATTTGAGTAAATGCCACATAAGCCTTGTGGTCCTTGGTGGAATGTTATGTGTCTGATTTACCTGTTCCTTGCAGGGCTGAGAACATCACTGTTCTCATTAGAAACTGCTTCTGTGCTGTCTCATAGCAACCCAAAAATAGAAATGTCCCTATTAGGCTGTATAGCTGTGATGGCTGCCACAAGTTTTGGTCTCTTTAATTGTGCAATACATATATATATATATATATATATATATATATATATATATATACAGTATATATATATATATATATATATATATATATATGCCCTTTATGTATACCCTTTATATGGTGGATAGGAAGACTGTCTTTATTCTAACAACTGGCACTGATGTTCCCCACTGCAGACAGATTAAATCGTATTTATAGCTCTGGCTTACTGTCTGAGGTATGGATTCAGACATTTATAAAAGGATAAAAAGAATAGTCAGTGAGCTGTTATTCCTCATTTCTCTCATGTGAAGGCCCAACAGTGTCAGCTGCTTTCATTTACAAATCATCGTCCTTTTGAAATTATTCAAATAATAATGCCCACACACAGATCATTTACATGTGTTTGGGAGGTATAGCGCTAGTTTTGTTTGTGTGCTGCAGTTGTGAAAATCAGGACAGAGGTTTTCATCATCAATTTATTTTTGGCCGACTACTCTGACGTCAAGAGAATACACGTTTCATTCAAGAAGCAAGAAAGTTATTTATAACCCGCAGCACCTCCAGGTTGTGATCCTTGAGTGCGCAGTGAAAGGAATACTCCCCATTGGACTGATGTAGTGAGCCTTCATAACAAAAGCCACACCGCTCATGTCCAGAGAGGTACGGCGCCCTGTAAACTATAGGACGCGTCGATGGGAACATTCGCGGCTGAAAAATTGCGATATTGCGAAGAACTGCAACAAACTTTCTCTTTGAATCATTTATTCACCCCCTCCCCCCGATTTCTTCCCTCTTACATGAGAAAACACTGGGTACTTTGAGCATGGGAAACCTCTCCTCTGACCAGGTAAGACAATTAGCAGACATTAAGTTGCTCTGCAAAATTATTAAATTACAAAATGATTGAAAACGAAATCTAATTAATTCAACTTTATGTCATGCGTCGCTGCTTTCTTCGTCTGTGAGGAGGCTGGTAGAAATAGGATTCACCTATTACATTACGCTTAACATGAGATGTATGTATAATGTATACAATTTGAATTTACATTTACACAATAAACATAATTTAAAATGCCGGATTTACCGGAGAAACAGACGACGAACCAAATCATTTGTAATGGAGCGCGTTTCTGTCGCCAAGTTATCCAAGATGAGAACCATGGACAGCGACTCCTCCGCCTCACAGGGGGCTGATATTCCATATCCCCTTTCTGAGCAATTCATTTTTTAGATATTTTAAATACATCTCGTTGTCGTACAGTCTCTTGCATATATTTTTTGAAAAGGATGAACAAGCCTGGTGTCTGTGCACACTCACAGGACGATGAATGCTTTTGTTCGTCGTTGTTCGTCGCTTTCATAAACATGATGGAAAAAGACAAACGCGAGCTCCTGTCTTGGCAGAGATAATGAGATAAACTTTGATTTTGATATCCAAATCTCACGATCATCCATCGTTTGAGAATCTAACAGGTGCTGTTACCATGCTGTCTCGTGCATGAGGATTTCTGGGCATGGCCATGATTAGTTTCCACTGTGGAAAAAAAAAAATACATTTTTAACACATTACCGTCATTTCTATATGAAGAATATATATTTCCTACATCAGAATTCTGGAACAGTAAGTTATGTCTATAACCTTTTCGTTGTAACAGACTGCCACCTGCTGGTGGTGATTTAGAAAAGCAGAGAAACAAACAACATGAGTGTTAACCACTTCTATGTTTTCTTCAAAGGGCAGTGAGCTGTAAATTCAACACTGAGACGATCTGTGACTGGCTGGGAGATGGCAGATATACTGGAGCTGCGGACAGATGGAAATTCACTCCTGAAGGCGGTCTGGCTCAAACGCTTGAGACTCACCAGGCTCCTGTTGGAAGGAGGCGCATATATCAACGAGAGCAATGAACGTGGAGAGACACCACTCATGGTGGCCTGCATGTCCACACACACTGACCAGCAGAGTGTGAGCAAGTCAAAGCTGGTGAAATATTTGCTGGACAACCAGGCAGACCCCAACATACAGGACAAAGCTGGTAGGACGGCTCTAATGCAAGCCTGCATCTACAAGGCTGGACACGAGGTGGTGGATCACCTGCTGAGCAATGGAGCTGACCCCAGTCTGGAGGACAGGAGCGGGGCCTCAGCCCTGGTCTACGCCATCAATGCCGACGATAAGGAGACACTAAAACTGCTCTTGGATGCGTGCAAAGCCAAAGGCAAGGAGGTCATCATAATCACCACAGACAAGTCGCCATCTGGCACTAAAACGACCAAACAGTACCTAAATGTCCCCCCATCACCAGAGATGGATGAGAAGTCCTCCCCAGCATACTGCACCTCTCCGTCTGATATCAACGTCACTGCATCGCCCACACCTGAGCAAGAGCAACAAAACACAGTTTTCAGTTTCCAGACCAAGCTGAAAACCTCCAGTTCAGCTGCAAAGCTCGCCAACGGGCCCACGTCTCCAACGCGCCGGCCTGCAAACCCCAAACGTGCACGTTTGCCTCAGCTGAAGAGGCTGCAGTCAGAGCCTTGGGGGCTGATTGCTCCCTCAGTCCTGGCTGCAGCCGCCCATGAGGAGAGCAAAAAAGCCACCTCTGATGAGGATGTCATCGCAGGGGTTAACGGGCTCTCTCTGAATAAGAGGTCAGCTTTATCTCGACAGAGCAGTGTGGATGGAAAGGACAGCTTTTTCCCGCTGGTGGGTGAACAACACTGCAAAATGACAACCTCGATATCAGTTCCTCCAACGTCCAAAGCCTCATATGAGAGATCTCTGGGCCAGCACCAGCCGCTGGCACGGCGCAGCACTGTGCCCACGGAGCAGGAGAGCAGCAGTTGCAGCAGTGGACTTGCCAGTCTGAGAGACACAGTGCATAAGAGACATCTGGGGAACGATCACTATGACTCAGACTCACAGCTCTACTCAGGCTCTGCCATGTTAGACTCTCCTAAGGTCCCAGTGGAGCGAAGGAAACTGAACACTTCTCCTCTAGCGATGCTAACTAGCTCCAGAGAATCTCTCGACAGCAACGCCAGCACGTCCTCTCCAAGCACAGCACACAGACGTGCACCAGGCCTCCTGGAGAGGAGAGGCTCGGGCACGCTGCTGCTGGACCACATCTCCCACACCAGGCCCGGCCACCTGCCTGCTCTCAACATCAACCTGAACCCTCCCATCCCTGACATCGGGGCTAGTAGCAAGCCCTCCTCACCTCTGGCCACAGGTATTAGATCTATAGCTCCAGTAGCACCAAACACACCAAAGAGAGGTGGCCTCAAGTCCAAGAAAATACTTGTGAGAAGGCACTCTATGCAAGTGGAGCAGATGAAGCAGCTTTCTGATTTTGAAGAGACAGCTCATTAGTTTGTGATGGTGTTTATGCAGCACATATTGTGGGAGTAGAACTGTTAGCAACATAAATTGTCAGGAAGTACATCCATAGGTTCCGCTGTGTAGACTCACAGTCATCTAGATGTTGAATAATGTATAATTTATAAAAGATAATATATATATATATTGAAACTGAGCAATATATATAGACTTCTTCCCTGTGTTACACCCAACCTTAAGTTTTATCATATTTTGACTTCACAACATCTGCTGTATATGTATTACAGTTTTGAATGTAAATGCCAAGACATGGTACTATTCCTCTGAACTAGCTCTATTACATGGTAATGTAATGCGTAGGGAACATACAGGGTCCATTTGTAGCCAGCAGGCCACTTGGGTGCACATTGTGCAAATGTAATTAGAACCATTAATGGATTTTTTTTATTTTAAAAGAAAATGTGATGCACTTGTCTGAGATGTAGCTTTGAGTAAGATGAGATTTTACTGTTTGTAGCAAATTTGTACAAAGTGCCTTCAAGATAAAGAAACCTAAAAAAAAAAAAAGAGAGTGGACAGATACATTTAATGTATTCGGAGCATTTTTAATTCATGATGATGTAACCAAAATGTGTTTTATTTCAATATTGTTGGTGTCACATGAAAGAAAATGAATATACGTGATGTGAATGAATGAAAAACATGCCTTAACAAACAGGTAAAATGATGGGCTATGTATAACAGCACTTTATTGCCCAAGAGGAAAAAAAAAATGAAAATGTTGCGCTCAACAGTGTTTCAAAAAACCTTCAAAGCACATGTAATTCTTATATGATGAAATCAAGTAACAAAAATGATATTCGAGCCCTTCGTCAACACAGGCAGTGGTGAAACTTGTCAATTTAAAATGTCATTTCACGCTAATGGCAATCAAAAGATCTTACTGCTTCCATGTAACTTACCTGTGCAGCATTGCTACTGTTTAAGAAAAAAGAAAACATAATCAAATCCATAGTATTTTTGCAATTAGTTTGTTGTATATTCTGAATAAATGTCTATCACTTGTGACATTCTGTCTGTTTACTCATTTGTTACATTAAGTAGGCGCTCAGCTGCTTAGCAGCCACACAGATGCTCATTAGAAAGAGCACCAGTTCTTCCTCAGGCAGTCCGTTGATACTATGAAGATGATGACGATCATCATCGATGTCACTGTGATTATATCAGACCAACCATAGAGGCACTCAGATCCCACAGCTTCTTGGCAGCTTCATCATCCAGACCCTGAGGGGCTGCTGTTTTAGGGGCGCAGTCGCTGCAATCAGGGCAGAATTGAGTCTTAAATATGTGGCTCGATCCGTTACTACAGTGCTGATTTATTCACAAGGACCAATTCTCAATCAGGATACAATGATGAATAAGGATGGAAATCACTGGGTCACTAACAATACAGGATGGGATCTGGGACAGAATACTGCATAGGTACTATAGTATTCTGTACAAGATACTGACAGTAGTTCATATGATTCTATGATAAGCAACATAATGACATATTCCCATAACTATTTAGAGGGATATTTACCAGTTATATTGTTTTTCCACAAAACAGGAATTGATCAATATCTTGTATTTACTGGCCTCAAGTGGCCATCGGTTTGTGGTACTGTAATTTAATTCCCTGTTATTTTAATTTGGGAATAAGCACCACTAAAGCACAATATCCATTGACTTGATAAGGAATACTCGTATTTGTGCATTTTACTCTGTGTCTGCTGGATCAATAGGCAATTGTTTGCTAAAACATTGTCAGGTAAACTCAGCATATATTTGCTCTGGGGCTCCTGAGCAGGTTTAACCGGCCACGAGTGTAATAGAACATAAAGCGATATTGGTGCCAGGGAATCGCCCCCGAATCTCGATATATTGATATATGTTGTAGTGGCTGTCTCAGCTCTAATAATGAAGCTACTGATTTACAATGACTGACCTGTAGTAGAGTCCACTTTCATTCTGCAGGCTTTCCTCCACAGCGCAGTAGATGGTGGTCTGAGCCCCTTCTGTTGGAGACTTGATGAGGAACATGAGCGGTGTGTACACAACTCTCTTCCAAAGGGGCATTGTGGGCCAGAAGTGTCGGCCGAGCTCCGTGCGGATTATACCAGGGTGGAGGCTGTATGTAGTTACCCCGGTACCTGCAAGATGACAAGACATAGGGCATAATGTATCCACCTTATGGATAGTTTATTAAAAACTGTGTAATGTCTGGTGGGAGATATAAAATGTTTCCATACCTTGCAGCTTCTTAGCCAGCTTTCTTGTAAAGAGGACATTAGCTAGTTTACTTTGTGCATAGCTCTTCCAAGGGTGGTAATCTTTCTCCTGATGTATGTCATCAAAATAGATTTGACCTGTTGAGTGAAAGCAGCATTCACAGATGTGGTATTTAATATCAAATGACACTGAAAATGATGGCATTCCTGATAGAGAATACCAATCTACATCTCTTGAAGTAAAATAGAAACAGACAAAAACTGAACCTCTCTGATGAGCTAAACTGGAGACTGTGATGATGCGGCTGGAAGCCGACTTCTTCAGGAGATCCAACAGACAGTTTGTTAAAAGGAAGTGGCCCAGGTGGTTCACACCAAACTGCATTTCAAAGCCATCTTCAGTTTGCCATTTTGGGCAGCTCATAACACCTAGAAGTAATATTTAAAAGTAAATAAAAGTCTCAAAGCTGTTGGATATATCACAGCATCAGTGGTCAGATGTGATTTATACATCTACCTGCATTATTGATGAGAACATCCAGCCTCCCTTCACTTGCTAGGACGTCTTTGGCTAGCTGTCGCACTGACTGTAGAGATGCCAAGTCCAACTTTTTGACAATAACATTGTCATTTCCGCTCCTCTTCTTCACCTCTTCTGCAGCTTTATTGCCTCGGTCCATGTCTCTACAGGCCAGAATGACTCTCGCTCCTAAAACACAGCAGCACATCCTTTATTTACATTTCAAATTGAATTAGATATTGCCAAAATATGAAACCGGTATAAGTCACTAACCCCTTTTAGCCAGGTCAACAGCCGTTTCTTTGCCAATCCCAGTGTTGCCTCCGGTGATCAAGACGGTCTTTCCCTCCAGCGAGGCTTTGCTACGACACACTCCACCTGCCATCCATTTCTGCACACCAAACAGTCCCGCTCCTGTCAGAGTGTACACACAGTTAAAATACCTCTGCACCTTTAAAGAGAAAAACTGTTCACCGAACCGCAACTTTAAATTTGATACCATATATCTTCAACTGTCAACGCTTTTAAATCCAAACTACTGAAAACTATTTTCATCAATTAAGTGTTTTTAGTAATTCTTCAAGCAAAAATGCCAAATATTTGCTTGAAGACAATGACTGAAGCTGGTTCCAGCCTCTCACACAAAATAACATTGTTTGTTTTTCCTTCTTTCTTTTTATTACTGTAAGTGGGGTTCCTGAAAACAAGCTGTTTTAAGATGTTTGAATTCAAGCCCTTAGAGATTTCTTTAGAAATGCATAGATTAAAAGATGAATCCATTAGGTCAACTTCTACCACTCCTTAGAAAGTCTGTCTTGTGTGCTCCAATAACTTTGTTTTGTCTGATTGTATAATTCAGTTGTTTGTATTGTCTTCAGGATCCCATTGGTAAAGAGGACAACAATGGAAATGTTAGCTTTATTGTGTTTTTATCCCTGACAATTTAATTGTATCTGTCTATCCATCCATCCTTCTATTAATAACATATATTACATCCCGTGACCATATCGAAAACCACCGAGGCACCAATCAAATCAATAATTTCTTTAATTATAATGAAAGCTCTCATTGTTTGTTTATATTATGGGCTAGTAACCGTGTACTAATGTTGTAGCTGTGCTCTAATGCAGCAATTACAAAGCATAACGTAAAATGTCAAATGATTCCCAAAAACACATAGTTTTACTTTTTATTAATGAAGAAACTTTTGAGAATATGAACTTGTAGCCAAAGGAATGGACGTGCAATTGTCATTTTCTAAGCATGCAATCTCATTCATTCTAATGACAACAAGTACCGCAGTGTTTGCATGAGCCCCGTGCATTAACTGAAACATCACAGACCGTACAGTTTATTATCATTAGCGTACAGTTCAGTGAGTGAGCACACAGACGAGACCAGAGCTGGCTGTTGTTACCTGTGACTGTGACCAAAGCAATGGTTTTAGGATACTGGGCAACAAACGATCTCATCGCTGTGAAGGTCTGCATCGTCAATCCTTCCACTGTTTCTACAACTTCAAATGTTCCCACTTTAAGATAGATTGCAGTTGTATTTCTGTTTAACTTCGGTCTCTTTCGTATGAGCTACAAAATTACCCCAAACCAACAAGAAGAAATGACCACCACAGCTCACGTGTATAACAGCTACATAACAACGCAAGCTTCCTCCAGGAAGTCCCGCCTCCTGTCGTCCTATAGACGAATCCTATTGGTTCGTCTTGTTAATTATCTTCTAAATAATATTTTCACGAACATTTTAAAACTTCTGATGCTATATTGGACTCTGGGTAATAATAATGATTATTAATAATCATTATTATTAATTAGTATTAATAATAATTATTATTAATTATTATTAATAATAATTATTATTAATAATAATAATAATAATAAAAATAAGAGTTTAAAATGGAGATAAATGTAAAAAGGGAAGCAAAATAAAAAAAAACAATTACAAATTGGAATATGAAATTAAAATGAAATACAATAAGGTGAAATAGAACTATAACAGTGACAACAGCAATTATCATTACATTAACCACTGCAGTTGTTATCATCTTAACTATCATAATTTTCCTAGATGAGCTGAGGTAAATGTATTTTTTAAAAAGAATAACTTCCAAATAAAAGCGAGGCTGAAATGGTTTTATCATGTTTAATGCATCACTCAGTGTTGCTTCCCTCGTGATCCCACGTTTTGGATCAAGAACTACAGACCTGTTGGTACATATCATTGTAGCTTAATGTCACCAAGGTAGTCAGGGGAAACACCTGTAGATAAGTAAAGACATCTTACAATTTCTCCTCAAACTAACTGGAAGCCTGTGATGGTGATGCTGTTTGACCGGCTTTGATAATGATGGCGGAGCTCCAGGTTTTATGTTTCATGTCACAATACACATATTGTGTTGCACATTGCCAGCTTGTGTTGGGGTTTAAACATTTGTTTTATTAACTAATGTAATTTTTTGAGGAAATTATGTTTAAGTCTGTGTTTGCCTTTGCTTCAAGGGGACAAATAAGTTAAAATTGTAAATGCTCCTCAGATCCTTTAACATTAGATGTTGCAGGTAAATGAACAAATCCATAATCTGAAATACACACAAACCTTCCAGCAGAGGTCAGTGTAGGCTCACCAACACAGTCTCAGGGCCTTCTAAAGGAGTCCAGTAGATGGAGCACATACATCATATACGGCGCAAGACTATGTTTTATTTTTTATATCCAGTTACCAATCAAGTCTAAGAACACTGGGGAAGTACTTTATATAGCATCAAATTATATCCTAAACTCCTACGAGCAAATTAAGATGTCTCTCTGCTGCTGTACGAGCAGACAAAAGAGCAGCATCAAGTTGACAGTAATAATAGCATTACACCCTTAGATCTGAATTAAACTCTGATCAAAGCTGCAGCTGAGCAGCTAACTCTTCAAATAAATAATTTAGTCCCTTGCTTATTGATGAGGGTAAAGTTTTAATGTGGCAGCTCAATAAGTCCTCGCTCTTTTCTTAACTGTAAAGCACAATAGGCTAGTCCACCATCATGAGACAAGGACTTAAATTTAATATAGAGCTTTGTCCTTGGTGTTTACAGGGTGACATCTGAGTGTGCATGTGAAGGTGGGCAGCATGCGCACACTGTTTACATAAAGGGTCAAAAATTGAAGTTGAAAGTCAAAATATTATGTAATTACACTGTCTGACCGCAACAATAACATGAGTTACAGTCTCTACAAGACATTTTTGGTTTATAGACATTTTTATTTGACATTGCATATCTGACTTTTGTCAATGCAGGCCCCCTTATTCTCAAATGAAAGAGTACTTCAGAGGTGACCTGCAGGATGTCTCTATTGCTGGCTCACCACCAAGCCCGTCATGTGACCGCACTGCACACTTGTCTCCCAGTATGGTAACCTTCCCCTGCTAAAATTAGAGGGCCCTCTGCCGAGACTTTTTGGAATGTGACTATCTTGTACCCATCCTGCAGATGCTAGGGGATCTCAATAAATCTCTTGTCAGTTTTTAATGTTTGCTTGAGTTTACTCTTGCTCCACCAGAGGAAGTATCTGGGCTTTTTTTTTTTTTTACTAATAAAACAAATCCTGTGAGCTTATGCTTTTTATGTTTTTTGCAAAAAAACGGTTTGTAGTTTCTGATCCGAATGCACTGCATATTTGTAGTTTCTCTGCTAAATGTATAAACATTTTCATCAAAGCTCAATAAACAATACACATATATCAAGTTATATTGTTGCACATTGTGCATTTCTCTATTGTCTGGATTTTTAACAAAGTAAAAAGCTACTTCATATTCATTATCCACTTTTGGAAATGTAGCCGAATAGATTTGATCAGTTTATTTGTGAAGTTTATTACTTATTTATTTTTGCAGCTTAATAAACTCACAGCATATATTCATTCTTTAGACCTGCTATATTGAGGATGTGCACATTTTACACACAGTCATAGTCTTCTAAATTGTTTATTGACACATATAACGTTGGCATTATGATTACTATTATTATTATGTTGACTTATGCTGTTTTTTTCTTTGCTGTGCATTTCAATGAGTTATCATCCAATATTACATAATGTTTTTTCTAACAAATATGATGCCTTACTATTATGCAAAATGGCATCAAGTGGAGTAAAGTTGACTAAAATAAAACACTAAGTGGGGTTTGTGTCCTTAAAGGATTATTTCTTCAACTAACTCACATATTTAGGGCTATTTTCTAGATATTAGTTTGCTTTTACCCTACACAATAACTTATATGTCTGCATAATAATGGATCATATTAACCTTCAGTAGGTTATCTGTGGAGGAGGCATAGACAATCAGATAAATGTACATGTTGTGGGCAGTCTAAATTATCTGATGAATTATAATAGTCCTGCAAACACACAATTGACTGCAACAGACATTCAACAAGTCACATGGGACATGTGTTGGCAAGCTCTAGGGGGATTTCTTCACTGATTTTACATATTAAGTTCACGGAGTACAGGCTACCACTCAGCCTGTGAATACAGAACAATGTCTCCTATGGCTATGGGGAGTTTATTAAGTCTAATAGAAATGTCATCAGGTGTCATCACCTGAGACTAGAAGGGCATTTCATCTACTGCTGCTTCAATTTTTATCTTTAATATTTTATCTTGTGAGTCCTGCTACTTTATGGAGGTGGACTTCTAGTCACTAGAGTGCCTTTTCAATGTGCACAATATGCATTGCACACCCAAGTGTTTGTGAACAGTAAAATGTCTTCAAACATATTGGGAGAATGAATGTGTCACATCTCTACAGCCATTACAGAGTGGAGGTATTGGGCTTGTGAGGGGAGAAATGAAGACGCTGTAGGCCTACATTTAATGTATTTAGCAGTGATGGCAGGTGGTGACCTTCCCTTCAGGTCGTGAGACGCTCAGGGTTTAACCTGCTCTGGACTGTTGTCTAGACGGAGGACAAGCTGCAAGAGTTCAACAGCTATTTATTCTCGGTCCCTCCTCTGTGTCTGTGCGACTCTGACGTAGTAACAAGCGTGTCCCGCCGGCGAGGTGAAGAAGGGCGGCGCTGCCTCTGCTCACTATATTGCAGAGAGACTCAAATCGTTTTGCCCTCTCTTCTCCTCTGACTTTCGTCGAGTGTGAACCTAAAAAGTGAATCAAGCCAGGGGAAACATGGCTGGATATTTGAAAGTCCTCAGCTCTCTTTCGAGGTCTGCCGCTGCCTTCTCCAGAAACCCCGCGGTGCTTGCGCCGGCTTCAAATTGCCAGACCTTGCAACAAAGAAACTGTGAGTGGAGAGATAGCCCTGGTGATCCTCAGCATCTTTGTGTAACGGTAGCTTTGTGTTAAGATGGTGCTTTGTAATGTAGCCGAGGTTGGCTATTATAACGTTTGCGACGACTAAATCAGCCAGCCGTTAGGTTAGAAGCTGGGTGGCGCGCGAGCTACGCAGCTAACGATAGCCCACTACCGTTTGCTGGTAGCGGTAACAGTACTAATGGGGTTCATAGCCAACGGTGCTCTAAATGCTCTCCGGTGTCTTAATAATAGTGTAATGCCCGTGTTGTCTGCCGGTTGTTTATACAATCCGGGGGTCGTAGACGTGGAGAGAGATGAGGTCCGAGAGAGAGAACCGAGAAGCCGGGGAGGGGGATATCCGTCTTTGTCTTCCACATCAAAAGTTTAAGGGACGGTTGAATGAGCGTGTTGTCACTTCAATGAATGAAACAGTTAAATAAATACTACCACCACTAACAAAACGAATGTGACAGGGCAAGAAAAGCATAACTGTTACACCCCGCTCTTCCTAAAAAGACTCAATACATCAGGGGGGAAATTGCGGTGCGAAAACTGGCAGTGAATGAATAAAAGGAATCTTCCGCTTTTTTTTAGCTGTGCGGACATTTTATTTCTCCTCGCTGGGGGGCTAAAACACTGTCGTTGTCACACATAATGAAGTTAAACCTGTTGTCCAAACTCAGAGTGATGGCTGCTCTTCAGCCATCATGACATTCGTGCGACACTGAGTTGGAAAACTTTTTGCAAGGTCAGCCAGTGCATACGAGGCTCAGCTGTAGAGAGCAATGGCTGCCGCTGTCCTACTTAATGTTTTCCATCTGGGTTGTATTTATTTCACCACATCTGATCTTTGCATTTGGACTGTAAAACCCACTGCGGCGTGTTACTTTTATGTTAATGTTAACACATTTTACTTTTTATTTATATCCTTACCAGGAGAGCAACCAAAATCCCTTGCTTTTTTTTTATCGTCTGATTTGGAGCAGTTTATCACGTGGGCTCTGCATACATCCCAAATTCTCATAGAGCGAGGATTTGCATCCAAATAAGCTATTGTGATGCATAGATACATGTCTCCATTCATGCTAAACTATCAGCCCCACTCAGTGTTGACAGAGCCGGGTCAGGTGAAGGGTAGTTTAGAGTGTGATTGAATCAAGTCATATGAGCTTTGTGGTTTACTGTCAGTGGTGATTGATGGTAGCCCAGTTTACACAACCAGGATAAAACAAACAGTGTACTACCTCTACACTTTAAGCCTTAACTCCTATAGGTACCTGCAATGGGGTAACATCTGTTAACATGCACGTGTGGCAGCTTTTTAAAATATTTTATTTGGTGTTTGATATAGAAATCATGTATAAATCAGTGAGCCAGAAGCATGATTTATTGCATTGTCTTTGCCGACAGCTGTTTACTGTTATTACAGTATTATTAAATTTCCCCAGTGCTCATAAAATTGGACAACATGCTGTTTCTCGATTTTACCAAGAAACGGTGTAAACTTTGAAACCTTGCATTTGAGCTTCTACTTTTTCTCTCAGTCCGGTTTAAGAGTTAATTAACCAACCTCACAAAAGTCTTACCTGCAGCTTGGTTTTACCGTCTGAATGCCTTTCCTCGGTATAAGATTAAACTGAATGGGTTCAAGGATCGCCTCCTGTTGAAAGTCAACCACAGAAGCTACGTAGACGAAGGTTATTGCTGTCAATCTGTCAAGTACACGGTCTTTGGCTGCTTGCCCTTAATGTATATTACATAATGTTGAGCACATGATCTCATTATCCAAACTCACAGTTCTCAACTTATATGTAAACACTGTGTGCTACAGGGTATTTAAAACGTAATACTCAAAGTTGGCACTGAATGCTAGGCCACATTCTTGTTTACTTATGCTTTCATAAGATATGTTCTGCTTTAAAATCAATTTTTACACTGTTTTAGGCAAATTCTTTCACAGTTGGAGGAGTCAAAACAGCAAACAGTACTGATGCTTTGGAGAAGTATGACAATGTGAATATCATACTCAAAGTAAGATATATTTTTTTGGTGTCAGTGCAGAGAACAAGGTAGTTTATTTGTACCAGTATCAACACATTTTGAATGGCTCCAAAGTGTAGACTGTAAGTTTATAAATGCTGAGTTTGCCTTTTTGTGTTTAGTATTTTGTTTTGAATAGACACAGCTAGGACTGAGCAGTATTGAGAATATCATGATATTATTAAATCGAACACCTCGCTATAGGGTTGACCATTGGTGCTCTCACAAAATATTTATGAGATTTTTGATAACTATTGATCAGTAATGTGACTGTAATGACTCAGTCAGTAAAGGCAAACAATGCAACAGCTAGAACTGTCATGTTATTTCAGGAGAAGACAACTCGTATGCCAAAATCTAAGACACCATCTGTTCTCTCATCCTGACATTAATATAATATGGATATACTTCCCAGCCCGAGAGCAGCTCTTATCAACATGCTATGCTTTAAAGTAAGCTGTCGAGTGCAATTCTCCCATTTGATGGTTAGTTGTGTATTTCTGCTACTGACCGGCTTCGTCTGAAGCTACCGGTGGCGAGAGAGAGAGATTGTGAGCAGACTTATCTCCGATGCATGTGGGAATGATGTGGCAGGCGGGCCCACATTACTTTCATTCAGCCCACCCTTCAGCATCCAGCTTGTGATGCATACAGAAGTTACATAACCCACTCAGCTCCCCTCCCCCCGCACTGTGATAGTAGAGCCCTGCTATAGCAGATCTAGGGTGGACGAGTCCGAAATGATGCCAGTAACAGTAGCTGCACCCATGATGCACTGCGGCAGAAACTGTACTGACAAAGTCTATTATTAAATTACCAAAATCCAGTTCACCTTCTCTGCTCATGAGCTGTTTGATTTTTCCTGATGATTACACACAACTTAATATTTCCACTGCCAACCTTTCTTTATGAACAGTGCATTATTTACACTATTGCTTAGTCACTTTATTGGTTAATCACTTGGTTTATAAAATGGTGAGAAATGTGGATCAACATTTTCTAAAGCTCACAGTTACAATATATTGCAAAAAAATTGCTTGTTTGTCCAGCCAACACTACAAAACCCCAAAAATATTCAGTTCACCAAACTGGCACAAAAACGAACCAGTAACACTGAACTCATGCTTTTATTTCTTTCTGCCTGCTTCATGCTTTTGAGTAATATAACTGTAACATAGAGGTTATAAACTCCTTTCAATGAGGTTATTTTCGGCGTCATGTATCATGTGTTATGTTTGGAGCATGGGATCGGAGCAGAGGCTGTTTTGACAGGTGTTGCCCTGGCTTCATAATCCCAACTAGGTCAAATGTCTCCACAAACCCAAGTGGATGTTTGCTGTTTTATTACATTTAACATAAGGAAATGTTGGTTGTGTAACTAGTCCAGCAGGCTCCTTATGTTTACTTGCATTATTCTGGGAAGGCTTTGGGTCGCAGTGGGGGAGCATTAACTTGGCTGGGAAATCTGAAAATCACCTGATCCTCTGCAGCTCCTCCTGGACTCTTCTATTCACTCAAACTCTCCCACACTGAGTCTGATGAGAGGAGATATGATTAGAGGTACTAATCTACGTTAAGCTGACTAACTGGGAGGCAGAGGAGTTAAGAGACCCCTCTCTCAAGTCATTGTTGGCGTGAAAATTAAAACACTTTGGGATATTGAAGTTTTTAAAAACATCAACTTTCATTCAGGTTCCAAAGTGTTTGTTTCCTTTACTGTTAGAGAAGCTGCGTACTGTATATTAGAGTTAAATTGGTATTTTAGAACGCAAACTAAAATGTGTTGTACTTTGATATTACTCTATGAACCTATTCAGTACACGGGTGCACCGATCCAAGTTTTTATGTCCAAATACTGATTTTTGGGCCTTGGGTTTCGGCCATTAATGGTTGCAACGCTGATTCCTGAGGCACAGTTTTTATCAGGCAAACGTAAAGGAAACAACTGGTGTCTGTCCTCTGCAGATAGATCTCTCTCTTTTTGTCCAGTCACTAGTTTTCCTGTGTTTATGATTGTTACTCAGCAGTCTTTGACCCTTAAAAAACAATAGAAATTTGTTTTGAATGAAAAGCTGGATTTGCTTGTGTGTGTTTTTGATTGACAGATGCCGACAAACGCATCAAAGTGGCCCAGCCGGTGGTGGAGATGGACGGAGATGAGATGACCAGGATCATCTGGGAGTTCATCAAAGAGAAGGTGATTAACTGGCGTCCAGAGGCGGAAGGGTAAACGCACAAACCCTGGTGTGAGTCTCAGAGGACGACGTGCCCCCGCTGTCTGACTTGCCTATTTTTATATTGCAGACTGACACGTGGAAGTGAGGGGAGGTTTATGGAGGATTATGTATGTATGATGTCGGGGGAGGGGCTTCACTGAGGTTTCATTCAGTCACTGGCTGCCTGCCTCCGGAGAGAGAGCAGATGGTGCATTGGCTCAGGAAGGAAACGGGGATGTGTAATTCATAAATCTAAATCGTCATGCAAATACCTTCTTACGATACATCGATCACGTATTCCTACACATTTTGGGATTTTTATACTTTCACTTTCCACTTTACACTACTTCAGTCTACCGTGTAGATGTCATAAGTGTGTATTTTTGTTATGTCTTTTAGCTCATCCTGAACAATGTGGATGTTGAGCTGAAGTATTATGACCTGGGTCTGCCGTATCGTGACCAGACTGATGACCAGGTCACTATTGACTCTGCCCTCGCCACTTTGAAGTACAACGTGGCGGTTAAATGTGCCACCATCACACCCGACGAAGAGAGAGTGGAAGGTCTGTAACAAGTATTTAGTTGCCTCCACACATAGATACTTATAATACTTATAACACAAATATATAAGTGACTTGACTATGGACGAAAAGCTTGAGTTGGTTAAGAAACGTAGACTATCACAAAATAAGTTTATAAGCAAACTTTATAAGAACAAATGTTACTCTTCGAACAAAGATCATTGCCTTGTGGACTGTTCCCTGATCTGAGAGCACCGGTCAGGCCTTGTGTTCCCTGTGAGGCGGCTGAAGCGCGTTTAACCTCCTCCTTCATCCTACACATCCTGTTCTAACAGTAATTTATATTTTTCACATTCAGAGTTCAGCCTGAAGAAGATGTGGAAGAGCCCCAACGGTACCATCAGAAACATCCTGGGCGGCACCGTCTTCCGTGAGCCAATCATCTGCAAGAACATTCCCAAGCTTGTTGGAGGCTGGACGCAACCCATCACCATCGGCAGACACGCCTTCGGCGATCAGGTGAGTCTCCTCTAAATGCTGACGACAGTAGAGCAATTCACTTTACAGTTATATTCCTCTTGCCTCTCGAGACCAAAGTAACAACCAACCAAGGGGTCGCATTTATTCATTCGTGTGTATGAAAATGCACGCCGAAAATAATCTGACATATAAAATCATGCGTATGTGCGCAAATTCCTTTTTGTAAATCCCAAATCAACTTGGAAATGTGAACACGTGGATCAGCCTCATATCCCGCCCCCTACACGCCCACATTCAATTATACATGGTCAATGCAAAGCGCCTCATGAATGTTTAGGCCTAGAAATACATTTTTCGGACACGGAAATCGAGGTGCTCGTGGGTGAGGTGATCCATGAACACTTATTTCCTCCTAATCCCTCCATCCATGTAGTCCTCCAGCAGCGACCGTTACGAGTGTCACCGTAATATGTAATTTTACGGCAATCAGACTGATTGAACAGATAAATTAATAAATAAAGTTGTGGTCACTGCTGCGATTTTACACTCAAACCACTATAAAAACTAAAGTGCGTACTTTGTCCCTTCAAGCTTGTCTTTATAGATCCCACCTTTTGCGAGGGAGGTGACACAAGCCTCTTTCAGCCGCTGTTTTGTGCGTATGTAACGTTTATAAATTCAGAATTTATATATAAATGTTAATAAAATGTACTGTGTTTGCTCTACAGTACAGAGCAACAGACTTTGTTGTGGACCAGCCCGGAAAATTCAAGATGATCTTCTCACCCGCTGATGGTAGTGCAGGAAAGGAGTGGGAGGTCTATGACTTTCCTGCCGGTGGCTGTGGAATGGGCATGTACAACACCGACGAGGTGAGTGTGTGATTAATAGATGAGGCTGCTTTACTGTCAACAAATCCCATTTAAAACAACTAACAACTAACCCATTGCATCTATGAAACCCAGATCTACGGCACAGAGGAATAATAAATATCAGGCTTTGGCTCCACAGAAAATGCTCGTTAGTGGCATCGATTAATCTTTGTTTTTGGTCTTTTTAATGGGAATTGTTGACGGTAAGAAATAACATAGTTTTATGTTTTTCTCATTTTAACACACAAGATTTCTTTCTGTCTTTTACAAAACTCGTGAGAGACGATTGTTTCCTAAAAGCCTCTCTCTGGATGAAAGATAAATTATCCTGCATACCTGAGTAAGATGTAGATTGAGACGTTGTAGATAAAAGCTTCAGAAAATGTGTTGAACCCTTTCTTTGTGTTTTAAATATTATTTTAGCAATACAAAATAATATAAACTTTAGTCCCAAACTAGTCCCAGTAGTCCCAGACTCTACCTATTTCATCTTGTTAGTACTTATGCCTTTGAGTTCACGCTTTAAGAGAACTGCTGTAAGGCTTTTTTTGTTGAATTGATACAGAAGTCGTTTCGACCTCTTTCCAACCTGCTTCGCAACTGTTTTGTTTGCCTTCATCAGAACGGGTCTGTTTGATTTCACAACATAGGTCATAGTAGATGACTTTCAACGTGTCAAGGGGAAGGTTGTTAGCCCCTGTACTGCTGATAAAAGGCTACAGCAGTGGTGAACTGTTTGTGTCCCCCCCCCCCCCAACAGTCTATCACAGGCTTTGCCCACAGCTGCTTCCAGTACGCTATTGGCAAGAAGTGGCCCCTGTACTTGAGCACAAAGAACACCATTCTTAAAGCCTACGATGGCCGATTTAAAGACATCTTCCAGGAGATCTTTGAAAAGTGAGTGTTTTCTGTCTTTCATGAAAGTATCATGCACAAATAAACAGTTTTTGTTAAATGCGTGCTCTACGTCATTGCTAAAATAAAACGGATCAAAATACAAGACTAAAAGACATTTTGTTGATCGAGGTATAAGAGCAAGAAGTCCCTTTAGTTGAATATGTTGTTTTTGATTCCTACAGGAACTACAAGCCTGAGTTTGACAAGCTGAAGATCTGGTATGAGCACAGGCTCATTGATGATATGGTCGCCCAAGTGCTCAAGTCTTCTGGAGCCTTTGTGTGGGCTTGCAAGAACTACGACGGAGACGTTCAGTCCGATATCCTCGCACAGGGTGAGAGACTTGTAAAGAAACATGACTACTGCTCCGTGGGGAAAATTTGCTGTTGCAAAATACTGAAACGTATTAGCATTTGAGATGCCCGTCTGTTCGTGTTTCCTGTTTTTAGGCTTTGGCTCTCTCGGATTGATGACGTCAGTTCTCGTGTGCCCCGACGGCAAGACCATCGAGGCTGAAGCCGCCCACGGCACTGTGACCAGGCACTACCGCGAGCACCAGAAGGTTACCACCCATCTTTGTCAATCTAATGGCTCTGTATTGCAACGCATTTACACGGAGCAATGAAACGGAGAATGTGTGAAGCCAAACTATGGCCTTACAAACCGAGTGTGTGATCTGTGGGGTTATACTGCCATCATGTGGGGGACATTGAGAATGAGAAGTATTCTTAGATGCCCAAACAAAGTAAATGCATTATGCTTTACGTTCATGATGATTAAAAACAACATTCCAGTTCTTTGAAGAAGTTGAAAACGGTGACATTATCCTCAACTCTACTTTCAGGGAAGGCCGACCAGCACCAACCCCATTGCCAGTATTTTTGCCTGGACGAGAGGCCTGGAGCATCGTGGCAAACTTGACGGCAACCCAGACCTCATCAAGTAAGAGATGTCGTATTAGGAAGAAACGTACTGACCCTGGGATGAAACGGGCGTTTTCTAAATGTCTCTGTTTATGTGCAGGTTCTCCCAGACTCTGGAGAGGGTGTGTGTCGAGACTGTTGAGAGCGGTACGATGACCAAGGACCTCGCTGGCTGCATCCACGGCCTGTCCAAGTAAGTTAAAGCTTATGTTAAAGAGAGTGGCCAAAGCTAACTCAACAACGACGTAAAAACATGTATTACTCACGAAGATAATGATAGTACACTTGATATCCGTTTTATTAAATGTACCTAGTGTTTGATGCTAGTTTAGTTTTGTCTCCAGAGTTCGTTTTTCTTCAGGATTTCAGTCTAAAACATGTAGAATAAAAGCAATGAGTGCTATTATTATTATTATTATTATTATTATTATTATTCCTGATTGCAAAGGACATGTATCAGTCATTTAAGTATTTTTGAAAAAAACAAAACATATCAAGCATCCAAGTTTCCTCAGTTCTATATCATTTTAATTGTAATACCTTAAGTCAGACAAAATAAGCTATCTGAAGTTTTTTCCCCTAAATTCTTCCTTAATTTTCTGATATTTTATTTTATCCACCAAACATTTTGAGAACATAATCTGTAGATTCATCAATCATACACAAATAAGCTGCAGCCCTAATTTAAACCTGTAATGAATGATCCAAAAATGAATGTTTGGTGCTTTCACCGGCAGATTCACTTCTTTTAACTTTGAAAGTAAATATTCCCTTTGATTAAACCATCAGTGTGAAACACCCTGACATAAAACATGTGTGTTATTTGTCCTGATTCTGACCTGCCGTCATGTGATACGGGTTGGGAACTCGAAACCTCGTCCCAAACATGCCCCCATCTTGTTTTTAGCAGACAGGAGTTTAAGCCAGGATGGTCTCCTGTAGACAACAGGGTGTACGGTTTAGGGAGTTTGTTTTACCTCTCAAAGAAGTGTTTTCATTGCTGTTTGTTTGTTAGCAGGATATCTTAAAAACGTAAACAATTTCAATGAAGTTTGGTGGAGATTTATTTCGTGTAAGAAAAATGTATTCATCTCAGTGCTGATCAAAATGTGGATCCAGGCGATTTTTAAAGGATTCTCAACGTGGTGAAATATTCATTAAGAGTGCGTTTCTGAATACCGAAGAAGAACACACATATTGCAGGATTGTCCATCGAGATCCAGGTACAGATGAAAATGTTTTATCAAGCCCTCACTTGTTGGTTGTGTAGTCCCGGTGGAGGTATTGTGCACATGATCGGTATCTGCTCTACATTAGCCGTTAGTTGCTTCGGCTCACCTGCTAGCTTCAGCGCATCTTGACTTTTTCTTTCAAGCATTTTCATCCATGAGGCATTGCAGCTCACACATCTGTCAATGATTGCTTGTTTGTTTGTTTTTTGGTCACTAAAGACACTACTCTCACTAAACTAGAGACGAGTATGAATACAGGCGGGTGTAGCACCAAGTCAACAAAAGTTGCTCATAACATCCAATGCCTATCCTAATTTAGGTAAAACTAGTGATCATAATGCTGACATATCGATGGGATTTTGATTGTATTGCTACAGTATTCTCTTTCTTCCGTAATGTATTGTACTGAATGTTCTGATCCGTCTTGTCTTCTCAGTGTCAAGCTGAACGAGCACTACGTCAATACCACAGACTTCCTCGACACCATCAAGACAAATCTGGATAAAGCCCTCGGCAAGTAAAAGACTTGAAAGAATATAGTTAGCCCGGAGATGGAAATGTCACTCATCTGTTTTTGTACCTCATTTTTAACTTAAAAGGTCAATAAATTCACTTGTATTCTGTCTGAAGGAGAAAATAAAGTACTGTAATAGGATTATGTATTGTTCAATTAGGTTATTATTAAATAGTTAAGAGCTGTGCTTCCACCTGATGTCTCCCCATACCTGTCCCAATATTTGCAAGGTTTTATTTTTGTAATGTGAAGTACTGTAATAATAAGTCAATACTGTGTAATGCCTTGGGCAGGACTGAAGCATCTGTCAAACATGTTTGCCAATAAATACTCTTTGACCCACTATTGGTAGTTTTTGTTGTTTCAAAGCAAATAAAGGTCGGCCATTTTAAAGGTAAATAAATTTATTATTTTACAGTCTGGTACACAACATTGTACGTACATATCTATCAACATTATCTCCACACTAATGTCTAATACAGAATTCCATATAAGCGGAACATCTTCCCCTTTTTGAATCATCACTCATCACGTGATGGAATGAACACAGAAGCTGGAAAAACTCACAAAATTGAGCATTTTGTATTTTAAATGCGCTCTATCAACATCGCAAATGGATAACTTCTTTTGCAGGTTACAAGTTTGAAAAGCTAAGCACTGGGAAACTGAATATATTGAGCATTTCCCAAATCATTTTCCACAAGGTCCGCGGCCCTGTCACATGTCGGGAGGTTGTCGTTCATCACTCGGGACCAGTGTGCAGCATGATGGATGGCATGCTCTTGCAGACACACTGGGGCACTTAATATTTGTGTCTTGAGTTTTTTTTGGGACACTTCTTGTTGAGATTCATCCATAAAAAAAACAAAAACAGAACTGCAATATGAATGCAGGGTCTGCATTGCCTCTGAAAAATGCTGCAGTCTCGTGAAGGCCTGGATGGAGAGAAACGGTGAGACTGGTTGAAAGAGAAGCTGTGCCACAGTCTGTTCTCTGTGGTAATCTTTAGAGAAGATCTACAGATGGGTGGGGGGGGGGGGCCTGAATGTAATTTCATGAGGTCTGCGATTGGACCCCAAGAAATCTAATGTCCCAGCTCAACACAACAGCAAGGAAAAGAGACTTACAGTCCCCGTAGCTGCAAGATTTGATCTAATTCTTTGGTAAAGGGGTCCTACCATTTAAAACGTATGTTTTGATTAGAGTCTTTAAACATTCCACAGAAACAATTACATTCATAGACTAGAGATCAATACAGGGTGATGCTTGTTAATGAAAAACCTAAAAAGTAGACACAGTGGTCCTCAGTGCAACGCACTGATTACAGTACCAGCCACCATACGAGAGGACTGATACATTCTGTACAATAATATACAATTAAACACAGATCGCAAATCCAATTGAACATAACTCATTTTGCAGACCTCAAATTGAATTTATCACAGTAAAGATCAAAGTGAATCATTAACCTTTACAACTTGATCAGCTTTGGCTTGTGAAATGACTTCTTCCCTTTAACTCTTCACATTAGTTTACCCCGGCAGCCTTGAGAGAGACCAGGATGGTCTGAATGAGTAAGTGCAGTTTAACGTCATATGCTTTAAAGTTTGTAGCTAAAAATGTGCTTTTTAAATTCGGCTCGGATGATGTTCCTGTTTTTAAGCGACTGACAACATCGATGTATTTGCGTATATATATCTATTCACTTTACCTAAATGGTCCTGTTTTAGGCAGTCCACTTTTCTCAAATATAATATATGTATTCAGTAGATTTGCTGTGTTTTAGAGATGAAAAATATGTAATCAGGTAAAAAGTATATATTTCCAAATTTCGTAGCATTACGAGTGATTCCAGTGCATATGAATGTGCAGTTTGCTGGGTTTCTTCACACACTTGAAGAACAACCCAAGCACGATGCCTTTAAAAGCAAAAAAGCAATCCTGTTTTCATTAGTTCACTTATATTCAATTTGGGGTCATTTCAATAGTTCATGCAGTACTGAAGCGCCCTGTGCCCTTCCCATAGGTGCTGTAATACTCCATTTGAGATAGTTTAGCAATGTCTGGTGTGTTGTTGTTGTTAGCTCGGTTTTCTCGCTCGCTGAATTCAAAGCTCTCCTCTTCGTAGTCCTCCTGGCCTTCTGTGTCTTTGGGGGGTCCTGATGAAGGAAGCAAATACACAAAAATCATCCCACTCTGTCCTCAACAACACACACATACTCTTCCCAAAGACACATGCCCCCTCTGCCTCTGTATCAGCCTCTACTGATAGAGACAAGCATGTCTAATCCAGGCACTGCTATATTTACTAATCACACGGGGAGGGAGTGACAGAGAAACATCAAAACACTTGGCCACTCGATTACAGTGCATGCTGAGTCAAAGTGCATTGGGGGCAGACTGAGTGACAATAATGTGACATGAAGCCCACCGAGCAGCCTCACAAGGAAATGTGCCACACACAACCCATCATCGAATATCATCAAGGAGTTTCATCTGTTTCATCGCAGAGAGTGTAATATATTGATGATCAATGGAGGTACTCACCATGTCCCTCTATTGAGGTGTCCATGATGCCGTGTTTGACTTTCATGTGTCGGCTGAGATTCCCCTTCAGGTTGAACTTGCTGCTGCAGTATGGGCACTTGAAGGGCTTGCTGCCGGCGTGGAGGTGCATGTGGCCGAGGAGGTTGTACATTCTGTTAAATGACTTTCCGCACACCTGAGAGACAAAAGAGTGCGATAGTCAGGACCCCTCCCGGCTCAATCGCAGTGGGACCCAGTGATCTCGAAGTACAACTCCACTGGCTTCACTCACCTTGCATTTGAAAGGCTTGACCGGCAGGTGGACGATCATGTGCGTTTTAAGGGTCTGCTTCTGGACGAATGTCTTGAAACAGACGTGGCACTGGAACGGCCTCACACTGGCATGGATCAACATGTGTCTCTTCAGGTTGGCAGACAGGGTGAACTCTCTGGCACAGACGTCACACTTGAATTCTTTCATACCCTGCAGAAACAAAGAGTGTTTGGGCCTCTTAATTAATTTGGCTTAATATATGGTTTAGAGGAAAATAAATAATGAGTCACAGAGGGAAAACACACAAGGAGCATTTGCATTCTGGCTTTTGATCCAACACATGTAGGTAACATTAGCCCTCCCGCTAAGTAGAGTGGAAACAGCCAAACAATGAAGAGATTTAACTTTTTTTCTTGTTTCAACATATATTTGACTTTAATTTTAATATTTAACAAAACCAAATGCCATGAAAATAAATATTTGTTTTCCTATATAATGAAATGGAGAGAAAGACCAGGGTGATTTATCAGACACAAAGGGAAGTAGCTCTGCGAATGACACACAACACAAAACACATGCAAGTGGGGGGTTGAGCCAAACAAAAAAAACTCAAGGCCTTTGAAGGCTATGTTTACAAAGCAACTGGTTTTGGAGGAAAGACTGTGGTGCAAGTGTGCAATATCCTCCCATTTTCCTATGAGGATTCATACAGAGGACTCTGAAGGAGTGATGCTAAAATAATTAAAACTTATATGTTTTTTATCTTGATAATGACATTTTAAATATAGAGTGAGTATGTACCTATTTGGGTTTTTGTGTTGAACACATAAACTGGTTGACGAAGGCCCAACGTCTGGGTTTTACTACCTTAAATGCGAGGGTGTGCGGTGCCAGTACCTTGTGGGTGAGAGCGTGTTGTCGGAGGTGATGGATCTGGACGAACTCCATGCCGCACTCAGGGCAAACGTAAGGCCGCACGTTCTGATGCTTCATCAAGTGGTTCTGCAGCTGGCTGCGGTAAGCAAAGGACTTGTTGCACTCTGTGCACTGGTATGTGGTCGGGCCCTGGTGGCTGGCCAGGTGGCGCTTCAGGTGCGCGTAGGTTGGGAACTCAAGACCGCACTGGGTGCAGACATGGCACTGACCGTTCTCGTGTTTGTTCTCGTGGGTCCTCAGCTCGCTGGGGTAGGCGAAGCCGCGGCCACAGAAGCGGCAGCTATAGGGCTTGACGTCCGAATGCTGCAGCATGTGCCTCTTCAGGTGGCTGGTCTGCGTGAAGGCCTTCTCACAAACTGTGCACTTGTGAGGTCTGGTTCCCTGGTGGGTGAGCAGGTGAGTCTGGAGGTGGCTCGGCTGCTTAAAGAGCTTTCCACAGTGTAGACATTCATGGGGTTTAATTCCGTTGTGGCCCAGAATATGAGTGACGAGGTTATATTTGGACGTGTACGACTTTTCACACATGCGGCACTTCCAGCGTTTCAGACCTTCTCCCACATCGACGCAGTAAGACTCGTCGATCTGTACGTTGATGTCCAGCCGGTCGATCTGCATTCGCCTGGCAAGGCCCTCTGGGTCTGACCACAGCATGGCCTGGCCATTCTCCTCATACTCTCCCGGCAGGGCCATGTCAGCGGACTCGTAGGCCACCTCATTGGACTCATAAAAGCGGCTCTCCAGAGGACTGCCAGTGTCCCCGCTTGTCTTGAGGTTCAGTGCCTCCTCCAATTCTTCCTCCTCCACCACCAAATCTTCTTCCTTCTTCTGTCTTTCTTTGCCAGTGTTTTCTTCTCCTTCCTGTTCTGGCTGTCCGTCTGTTTGCGGCCTGGGTGTCTCTCTCGCACATGAGAGACAGTCTCCGCAGGCTTGCTCCTCTTTCAGAGTTCCCTGTTGGCTGACTGGATCCTTGGACTTGCCGGGATTTCGCCGGCTGTTAATGTGAATGCAGGAAGGAGGGGTATCAGACTCAAGCCGTTCACCTTTGACCTGAGCCTGTGGACTTGTTACTTTGTGTGGGTGACCCTCCTCACTCCTGGGCCTCTTGGTCCTCCCGCGGGGCCCGGGCCTTCTTCTCTCACTGCAGTGGGGCTGGGGCTCCGTCTCGCCAGCAGGCTCAGCCAGGTAGTCCCCATTGGCTCCTATTAGCTGATCTGCATACTCATACTCCATTGACTCAGGTGGAGGAGGGGCACACTCTCTGGGCTCCCCAGTGTAAAAGCCATTAGGAGCAATGGTGGCCCCAAAGATTTCATTCTGGGAGATGAGGCCAAGAACGGCAGCCTGAGCCAGAGATAGTACCACCACGGGCTCCGTCTGCGTGCCCACATCCATGTGGCCCTCTGTCATCTTTGGGTAGGTCCGCACAAAGCGGCTACTCTCCTCCTCCTGGAAGAAACATACAAGTTTTTAAAAAATGAACTTGAAGAAATAATATCTCCCTGTGTGTTTTCTTTATGACTCCGTTATTACAAACCCTGCCTTACACAATGTTTCCTCATATAACCCCATTTCCCCATTGTAGCCTCATGATATTGGAAACCTTACTA